CTCTTATCTCCCTAAAGCCTTGCTGCTGCGCATGCGTTAAGTTAGATCTTCTTATGTTTTTATTTTCGTTGAGAATGTTCAAAATACCCATAGAAAGTATTCGGAACTTTGTGTCGGCTACAGCGTAAGGCTCAGGCTCCTTGTAGAAAGAAGATGGGAATGGTATTGGTGGTAGTGTTCTTCTACTTAGAGCATCGATTGTTTGTGGTTGGTCATCATGTCTTAACTTCATCCGAAGCTGGTCTCTTAATCGTTGCAGTGATCCTAACACGCTGCGATAAGTTTTCGCTGTTATATTCTGGGTAGGTGCAAACGAAGGTCCTAGACTCAAAAATTCAACAGCATTAAGTGAGATTTGAGCTTTACCTAGCACCGTGACTCTTGCCGTACTTGCGTTCTCATTCGATCGAGCAGTCATAGTATCAAGAGTGTGAACTACTGGTGGATTTCTATCGGCACCCAAAAGACTCCGCTTACCTTCGCCCGAGAGTTTTTCGAATTTTTCGCGAAGTCGAGCTTTGTTTTCAGACCGCAAGGAGTCGCATATCTGTTATGACGCGCTTTCGATCCTCAACCACATATTATTACTCAAATATCGTCGGCATGAGTCTTCTTTAGTTTGAACGAGATGAATCATTAAAAATGGCAGCTACGATTAGGCGTCAAATGGATACACAATGCAGCCCAAACATTCAAGAAGAACTCCAAAAAAGATGGGTGAACAGAGTATCAACCGGGTACCTCTGTGCCTGCCTTTCATTTCCGAACGAGTCACTGCCGCAATCAAACAATGCCTAGTACAAGCACAGTTGGAGAAAGACGTCATACTTATCAATATTCCGCGGGCTAACCTCAAGAGACAGTTAGTTCGCAACAGATTGTATGATAGTGTTTGTATTACACGAGACTGCGTAGTGTGCCCCTACGGAAGAGCAGGAGACTGCGCGAAGTGTGGCGTTGTCTATCAAATTGAATGTATGAGCTGCCCTGTCACTTATATTGGAGAAACAGGTCGGCCGCTAAGCGTAAGGATAAGCGAGCATTTAGCCAGCAAAAAACGACAGAGTATAGTGTCCCCCTTAGGTAGACACAGAAATGTAGAGCACAACGGTGACGATTACAACATCAAATGCAAGATTCTGGCCTTCGAAGATCAAATCGCTGCCCGAAAGGCTCTAGAAGCATTTTACATACTTGCCCGTGACCCAAAAATGAACGGCAAGAATGAAAAGCTTTCTATCACAGGTGATCCATTGCCATATCTTGCGCTATGCGAACTATGAGATTGTCACCCTTACTTAAGCCATCTCATAGCGATCCAACTGCTCATTCGACAAGTTACTCGAGCACGTCCTGAAGCAGCATACGCTGCTGCCACGGTGATACACTCGGTGGGTAGACTTTCATGCCCAGTCTCTCAATCTCCACCCGAGACGAATCGAATACGCGGGTGTGAAGAGGTTTTGGCGGCAGGGAAAGTAATATCAGAGTGACTGACTCCTTTCCAGGCCTCTGAAGACGGTGTTTAACCGAAACGTAAGGCAGTAATAAAGTGTATCACCAATAAAAACCTGTACGGCATAGAAGAATTGTCAAAGTTATAAACTAAATTAGAAGTTGTTTTTTGAAAAAGCTAAAATAAAACTCAAGCTTGCGTTTTTTTGGAATTAACTACTACCCGATTGTTGTCCTCGATGAGCTCTACAATATAGTGTGCTTACCTGTCCGGAAAACTTCTGTGTTTGCCCCAGGAAAAGACCTAAAAGAAATTTTTAGGTTTTTTAGGTTGTTAGCGTTCGAAGAATAAATTCCGCAACATTGTGACGCAGCCATTTTCGGAATTTTTTTAAGGAAAAAAATCTTAAAATTTTTAGAACACATGTTTCTCAAAAAGCTCAAAGTGTGGATTGTAGATCTTGAAGAGCTCTATCACCTCATGCGATTATTACATTTTTTCATCCTTGTTTTCCCTCTGAAAAAGAGCGATGAAAAAGGGAGGGAGGCTTGTTCGCAACTTTTTGGCGTCACTGTATGTAGCATAGCCTCAACGCAGCTTGTCACGTTCATTTTTGAAGCAGGCACGATGTCGTCCCGGCACGAATACCCAGTAGTTAGCGTGCGGGAATCTGTGGCAAAAAGGTGCAACAACTGCGAAATCTGTTCTGTATTATCTAAATATGAACTTGATCAAATGCTAGTATCTTGAATCCGATGCAGTTAGACACAAGTCACTGAATGGACAAAAACCAAACAAAACTCCCGGCGATCTGCAAAACAAACAGAACTTACTTTGTTTGAATGCATGGTAGACATTCAGTAGCGTAAGATGATCACCATCGCGGGCGCAAATCGTGCCTTCGCTTCATCCATTTCATTTGGTCGGCCAAACCCTTAAGGAACTGCAATGCCCTAATTAATCCGCATTATTTTGATTCACTACCTTGCTTACCGGATAACATCGCAGATATCGACAATATCTCATTGTAACAATCCAACTCTGTAGACGTGATTAGCATTTTCGCCCTAAACATTGTAGATTGGACTCTAACATTTAAGTTAAAAAAAACCTCACTCATCTGCAGATCTAGAGGGAATTCCGCCATCAGAAAAACCAACTCTGTCAGTTCAGCATCATCGTTTGTAGCGGCAAGATAAATGAGTAGTTCTAGAGCTATCATAAGGGTTTCTGGAGCTGGAGGATATCCATGAAATCAAAATGTACGAGATTTTCACCTTCTTGAACTGCAAAACCACCAATCCTAGTTTTGAAATGGAATACGATAAGTAAAGAAAAACACATGTACGATTGGAAGGGGGTCACCGAAGTATATCCGGGTACGCCTGTTCCTGCATCTCTTCTTAATAAGCTTTCTCCGTATATAACCGCAGACACTTTCCTAAAATGCAAGGTTTCCCAATGTGAGAACGATTAGAAAAAGCTAACCAGGCTTAGTACAACCAGCAGACCAGCACTTTGCATAGCACTAGCTTTGAATATCGGACATACTAATAGTGACTCAACACGAATTCTCGGATTATAAACTTTCTGTTTCGAAAATCCAGTATCTATCACAAAAACCACTCCATCAGTAGTAAATGGTCTCAGCAAGTCGAAAAGAGCCAAACACTAAAATGACTGAGTGCATCCACACGAAAACCTAAAACTGAAACCTGAAAAGATGGAACTGAACAAATGAACGCCAAAAGCGCCAAGAGCAACACAAAAAAGAAAAAGGACGGAAAAGAACGCGGAAAAACGACAGCAAGTCGAAAACGAGAGCCGAACACCAAAAGTGATTGAGTGCATCCGCACGAAAATCCGAAACATAAACCTGAAAACGAGGAACTTAGAACAGCATAAACGCCAACGCGCCGACGAGCAACACGAAAAATCAAAAAAAGAAAAGAAAAACGAGCACGTAAGAACGTCAAGAGAGTAAGTTGAAAGCGACGGCAGCTTATTTTCGAAAATGTTAAGCTGCGTATCACAGCAAGTTGGCTGCATACTGTGCTCCGGAGGTGTCCCAAATCTGGCGTACCTCTAGAGCAGAGATTTGCAAGTCGGTCCCATCCGCCTTCTTGTGACGTCACCATGACGTCACAAGAGGGCCGCCCCTTCGCCCCGCCTCCTCAATTGTTAAGAAGACCCTCCGGAGCTCTGCCAGACTTCGACTGCCCTCCGGAGCTACGGCATCGATTGTCTGAGCAGTTTTTCGAGCTTTCTTGATGGCGTATTCACATTTTTGACGAACATTGGAAAAACAATTGTCACTCGAAGTCTGAAATAAGTTATGAAAGAAGCATATGCTGATGTGCAAATCTCATGTTCAGAATCAGTGATTAGCTCAGTTCAAGAAGTTCAAGAGTTTCCATAACTATCATGTACTTCAGTAATGGTGCCTTTGTTGGAGCACGGGGCAGTGGAATTCATTTGATCAGCGATTCAGTTAGATCGGGAACCCATCCTATAAGCAACTTGTGCAAGCACAGTAATAGGATCCGCTATGCGAAACTTTTGTGAATTTCTTCAAATTACCCTAATTTCACGCGTACAAGTCGCACCTTTCTCGATTTTTCGAGTAATCCCCTCAGCCGCGTCAAATCAATTCGGAAAGCGATCCTCATGCCGTACGATTTTCTTGAGCAATATACAGCAAGGCATAGGGTCCTTTGGTTGCGAAGTTCGTTGACGTATTTGGGCTGGTCATTTTGGAAAAAAATCCCCCGCGCCTTGTACGCGTGAAATTAGGGTAAAACGAATATTTTCACCACTATTTTTTTGCAGCTCATTTTAGACAAAGGAGCTGTTGAATTCTCGATTTCAAAATTATGTTGCTGATTTTTCAGTGAAAGAAGCGGTAAGTTTGATTTCCGAGTGATGCCATTATTAGAAGCATAGACCATTGTCAGCCTAAGTATCACGAGGTTGTAACAAGTGTTTAGAACATTATTTTTGCTCCTTTTGTAACTTTTTCTCTTACCGTCATGGTGTGTATGAAGAATCGTAACACAAATTGCACCACATTATCGGGAGGCCAGAATGAGGGTCTGAGGGCTGATAATAATGTTCAAATTATTCTAGGATCTCATATTGACCGCACTTTTCACGTTGCAATGTTAAGATGGTACTTTGTTGTGTTGACAATAGATGTTGTTGAGAATTTCCATCCTACAACATATACAAGTATTGAAGACTGCCTGGTGGGAAAGGTGAGGGGTGCGGGGGGGGGGGGGGAGGTCGTGATTCGGCATTTGGCCTCATGTGCCACACCTCTTCCTCGACCCTAGTGACTATCTGTGGCACAAAGCAAATTGTCAGCAATTGTTTGTAGGATTTCCTCAAAATGTTGTACACTTTAGATGGAAACAATCTTGGGAGAGATGCAATACAGTTGCTGCGTATTCCGTTTATGTTGCGAAGTGCTTCTAGATTTTGCGTGTAGTTTTCAGTGATCACAATGCACTGACGTTATTTGCACTTGACGATTAAAACTTCACTTCACACCGTTTCAAAACATTTGAAGTGAATGTGGCATTGAAGAAGCATACATGGTCACTTCTTATCCATACATCTGCACAAGTCCCCAAGCAATGGTATCAATACGCATTTTCCAGTTGCGGATCCCTAAATTATCACATGAAACAAATCATTTTGACATTCGCAAACCAAGTTTCATTTGAATTTTGAGAGCGCATGGCATAAAGCACGTGTGTTTGTCCTTTTTGCAGCAAAGGGAAGGGCTAAGATAGAGAAGAGCACAGAAAACGGCTACAAATTTTGCGCAAAGAGAGAAGAAGTCACAAAAGTAGTAGAGAGCATAGTTAAGGGACTAGTAGTTTTTTTGTAGGTTCTCCGCTACGGTTCGCCGTCTCAACGTGGCGTGGCAACAAAAAATTTTGGGTCCTGACAGTTCAACGTTAATGTACGGCTTAGACAAAAACGACCCATCTGCGCGGATCAGGGCTCGGCACAGCTGGCACCGGGTCAAACTTTATATCGTTTTTGAGACGAAAAAAAAGAGGATATCGTTTTGTGGCGAAAAAACACCAAAAGTGCGACGTGTGTTTTAGTCGACGTTTCATTTTTTTTGAGGATTTTTAACGTTCGAAGCTCAGGATCAAAGGGGATTCGTAAGAATTTTTCAAGATCAAAGGAGCTTCTTTTTGAAATTTCCCTGGTGCGAGCTCATGTCGAGCTCTGGCGAAAGCTCGGACGATAGGCCATGAAGACTGTCTTATGCTCTGTATCTACAAAGCCGAGAAAGTCTTCACAAACGCTTTTCTAGAAGCAGCAGAGCATGTCGAGTACCAAATCATCATTCTGCGAGAAACGAAGGCCGAAGAAGAATGTGCAGAGACAAGTGATGAACTCTCATCATTCATGGTGGGAGAGTTCTCACGAAAGTTGAAGGCGTTAGCTTTGTCGTCCTCCCATCTGTCGTCCATCTTGTCGATTCGCATGAGACCCTATCACCTCTAATAGCCATCTTACACTACCTACACGTCAGAAGACCATAACCATCAATTGCCGCTCGCCAACATCAGCAGCTGACGATTTAGAATTGGATGCTTTCTATGAAGACATGGAGGAGGTCATCCGCAACAAGAAGTCCTTCTGCAAGTCTTTTGTAGGTGAATTCAACACCAAGATTAGGATGGCATTGAAAGAGGAATATAGGATTGCGGATTTTGGACATGGGCTCCGCAACGAAAATGGCAACCATCTCGTTGGACTTCTCTCCGTCGCAAGACTTTTCCATGGAAATTTCGTCTTTATAGAGAAAAAGCATCGCCGGTGAGCCTGACCAACAAAAGGGAACCTTCGATCTCTGTTCCATCTTTCTGCAGTAACTCATTGTTGTAATGAGCGAAAATTTTCATTGAATGAAAGAATATTGAATAATCAAATTTTGAAAAATTTTTGGACGGAATATTGAGTAATTGAGTTTCAAAATTTTTTCGAACAAGCGATATTCGATTTCCGATTCTCACATTATTCAAATTCAAATTTTCGAATATGGGCACATTTCAAAATTGAACTGTTGGATATTCGAATAACTAAACTCGAACATACAACTATTTATGTGATTGAATAATTAGATATCATCGAATATTCGAATATTCATATGTTCGAAAATTCGAATGCAATATTCAAATATGCAAGAAGGCTCGCATACGAAACGTGCAAAGAATTATTCTAACACCCAAATGTTCGATACGTACTTTTCTTTTGCTCGAAAATTTATCGAACAACTATTCTTAAAATCTCTCAAGTAATCGAATACTCGAATAAGTGTCTTTTGAAATCTCTTGAATATTCGAATATTTGAATAACTGCCTTTCAAAATTCTCGAATAGTCTAATATAGTATTCTAATAGTATTCGAATAAGTCATTTTTCCAATCGCGCAAATGAATGAATATTCAAGTAAAGGCATTTCACTTACTTGACTATTCGAATAATCGAATAAATCACGCTCTCGATATTCGACTATTTAAGTATGCGACTAGGTTATTCGGTTCCAACTGTAGTGATTCCGATTACCGTCTTCTACATAAGATTAAGTCAAAAGCTGGAAAAGAAAGTTTCCCACAATGCCCAAGAAGGAAAGAAGTTGTTTGTACGTAACAGGCTGGAAGAGCTCATATCAAGTTGTGTGACCGTCGAATAGGACCCAACGCACGTCTAAGAGCGGCTTATAAAAGGAGAGCCTGCGGAGAATGCGCTTCCTGTTTTCACTGGAGAAGTAACCAGGGATTCTACTTGTTGAAGCGCATACCACGATCCAGACCATGAGGACGTGCACGGCACCAGAACCAAATCGTTTTTCGCCAAACTAGCGAGCCGGAGGAGAAGGTGTCTACAAAATTCTTGCGTCGCATTTACAGTGTGCGTCAAAAGTTTGCGAGCCTAGTACTTTTTCTTACAAAACGAGAAGGGAAGTACCTAGAAACGAAAAATTTGGCGCACACATACTTCGAACCATTGCAGATACAGCTCAGTTCTTGAATTGCAAAACTGCCTCTTTTGGCTTCCACGCAGCCCTACAAAATCTTGGCAAGTCCACCTGTCATGGCATGCATGTAGTCGTAGTGAAATTTGCCTCACTTCTTCACAATAACTGCTTCTTTTACACTGGCAAATGTGCAGCACGATAGAGCAAGCTTTTGTCCACAAAATGCTTCCAAAACGATTTCTTGCATTGCTTAGAAATGAAAATATTGGATTTTCAATCAGAAGCATTTGTACGTCGCATATCGGAATTTTGGCTACAACTGCGCGAAAAAAAAACAAAATTATCGTTCAAAAAGTATAAAAAGTGTTTCCATGGCCGAATTTCAATAGATTCTAATTTAAGAAGACGTATGCAAAAAATATAGCCTTGGTCCCAATGCCTGTTGCGCTTCTATAGCTTTTGAATTTGTTCTGAAGACGGACCTCCACTGGCACGTAGCAGTGGCGTACCCAGGATTTCGGCTCGGGGGGGGGGCGGCAAAAAAAATTTTTTAAATGAAGGTGCGTGGCGTTAGCCACGCACTCCGAAAAAATTTTAGGGGGCTTCTCAACAATTCTGCGGGGCCCCCAACCCCTAAAATATGGAAAAGGGGGCGTGGCGTCAGCCACGCCCCCGAAAAAAGTTTTTTTATAAGGCTAATTTGAATTTTTAAAAAATTTAAAAATTATTTTAATTGTTTACAAAAATAAACAAGTCATTTGCACATTTTTATAACGCATGTAAGTAACTTTCAAAAATTTCGCGACCCGTTCTCGGGGGGGGGGGCGCCCCCCCCCCGCTCCCCCCCTCGGTACGCCACTGGCACGTAGGTAACATTCGCAAACTTTTATTTTCCGTACATGCAAGAACAGCTCCTGGCAAAAGCAAAACTACGATTCAATAGCGCGAAGCCTCTTCTATATAGTGTGCATCGAAGTGTCGTAGAATAATAACAGCATTTCTAGTTACAGCAAAAATGTAAAGACTAAAAATTTTGGTTTTTCGCTTGGCAAAAGTACTAGTTTGGTAATTTCCAATCTTACAAAAACATATGGCGGCCATTTTCAGCTAGATAAAGTGTATTTTGTAGAGGATGATCGCAGCATTATGTGGCATGAAATCGAAATCAAAATCGCCGGTACCTTTGTAATTGCAATACTGTAAAGTTGGGCTCCCAGACTTTTGACGCACCCTGTAACACCTCACCCTGGGAAGGAAAGGATAACTCATCAGCGAAGAATTTCAAGAACCGTCCCTCCTTTCGGGAAGGGCGAATGGGAGGGTCTCTGAAACTATCATCCAGTACGCCTGTTGAGTGTGCTCAAGCTTTTCACGAAGATTATCCTCGCTCGCATATCTGAGACGCTGGATGAAGCCCAACCCCAAGAACAAGCTGGATTTCGCAAAGGATTCAGCTGCATGGACCACATCCAGACGGTTAGGGTCATAGAAGTCTGCCGGGAGTACCGACTGCCTCTCGTCCTAACCTTCGTCGACTACGAGAAAGCCTTGACAGCATCGAAGCCAACGCCATACTGTCAGCGCTGGTCGATCAAGTAGTGAACCCAGCTTGCGTGAGGACGTTAGCCCACTGCTACAAGGACTGTACAACGACGATGCAGCTATTCCATCGCCCATGACTTCAGTTGGTACGGGGGTTCGACACAGTAACATTATTTCGTCGAAGCCGTCTCAGTCCAATGACTTCACCATCTACAGCGAAGCCGCGGCTGAGTTGAAATTTTTCATTTGGCTGCATCTCAAATTGCAGGTTTTCGCCCACGACCAGGCAATCCACAACACGGGCAAACGAGAAAAATCTAATCTTCTTTCTGAGTGTTTCAAGAATAACCATGTTTTGGAAGGGGTCATCAAGAAGAAGATAAACAAGAAAAGATTTGTCGGAAGAAGTCGGCTCAGCAAACAGTTGACCATTTTGAAGACAACATCATTCGCAAATGAATCGTATTTGAAAAAGGATACAATACCACCTTTGAGGTAACCTTTGATTTAATCGGCTTGGCTGCTGGAAGGCGGGACTTTGTGACTTAATCAAGGCCGCTCGCGTCTGCTATGCAGTCTGCGCGTCTCTCGCGCGGCTGCTCTCTGATCATTGTCTAGCTTTGAGTCGAAGCCCCGCCTTCCAGCAGCCAAGCCAGTTGAATCACGGGCATACAGCAATTGACACCGAAATGATTGATAATGATATGGCAGCTACTTTAAACCTGGGACCATCCTTTGCATTTTTGCCGAAAGAGTATGAATACATCATAGATAAAGCTCTTTCGCAAGTTGACCAATACCGACTAAGCCAAAGACCACAAAAGGGCCCAGCACACTGATTTGCAGTCAACAATCTTTTCATTGATGCCCTTTCCAGAAGAACAATCAAACCAATAAAAGTGATACAGAATTGGAGAGAAAGCTATGCAAATTGAAAATTGATGTTCGACACAGTTACCAGAACAAAGCATCATTTACAGCTCAAATATCACGCCAGCTGAAAGAAGAGCTCTCGAAGCCCTAACATGATGTGAAATACCAGTGTCCGCATCATATGCTACTCACGACGCAATTTCCTTGTACACAAATGTGAATAACGATTCGTTCAACATCGATGATTTATGCTG